TTCTTCCATATATTTACATGGTGGGGCTCACCATCCTAGCTGGGATTTTGTAGCATTACTTAACCAACCAACCAAACAAACCTCAGAACAAAGAAAAAAACCTGAATTACTACAACCGGAAAATTGAGGGTTTTTTCCCAGCTAGAATTCATACAGTGATACAGAAGTAAGAAAGCAGACATGAATCACCATTCAGGAGCAATCTCAGAAGAGCTGCAATAAGCTTTAGTAACAAAGTTGCTTGTTAGAACCAGAACATTTATTTATTTAATGAATTTATATGCCACTACAGTAGCCCTATCTGGACTGACTGTGTAGCTCACAATATAAATATGTCTGAGTTCTCTACATATCCTATGTATATTCCCTGGACCTCTTGAAGAAAATAATACTCTCTCATTATTAATCTTTTAAAACATTTTTTAATTTTTTAAATGCTGTTTCTGGACATACCACTGAAGTTAGGGAAATGTTTGGCTTTCAGGGGCATAAAGTGTGTGGGTTAATCATGTCAATTTTTTTAGATTTCCCTGCTGATTATTTACACAATTTCAATTTAGCTTTTACCTGGCAAGTAAAACTTCAAAAAACGTATATACCCTCTCATACTCCATGGAATTCAATTCTGAAGGGAATTCTGGATGCTTTTTCTGGTTTTAGGGCTTTGATTTGTTAAGAGAAATTCAATGTACTTAATTTCTGTGAGCTGACTGGACAAGAATATGTCCACAGTGCCCTATCCTGATCACTGGGGAAGTGATGGTATGTTACGAGGCAAACACAGGATTCTGAAATCAGTGTTTGCCTCATGATGGTAGGGTGTTGTGTAAGAAGAATGCTTAAACCCTTCCTGTATGGATGAATGTATGAATTCTGCTCTGCATCCACATTATTTTGGCAAACATGACTTTAGGAATCTGAATTTGTGAAGGCCATGTGTATCAAGCTAGTTTTGCCCTGAATAATTATATCCAGTCCCCATGTATTAAGAATTGGGACATGGCTTCTGGGCAGGTCTTGTGGCCTAGCGCCTCTGCTTTTAGAAATTAAGCATTCTATCCCATGCTTGCATACACCCAGCTTTGACAGTTAACGGTACTTACAGGATTTTGTTTTCATAGTTTACGCCATACTGCAGTCATTATTAAGGTTCCACTTTACATTTCTGTTAACTTAAGGTTCTACTTTGAAGATGGTAACGGTCATTTGTGTTAGTATCTTCCCATTTTCCACTTAGAGCAAGAGTAACAGGAGACTTACTACAGAAGTGTGTGTGTTTTCACAAATGGATACTGTGTTTACCAAATACAAAATCATAATATTGAGAAACCCCTTGATTAAAATTGCATGCTTGTTCCACAAATCACAGTGTATAGGCTTTGCATGATGCAGATTGGCATATAACATGCTTTAAAAGACTATTACATTCTTCAGGTGGTGGAGGAAGTTATGTGATCAGCTGCAGAAATCTAATTCAAAAGAATGTCCAGTGGAGTTTCTCCATCTGATCAAGACATGTTTGTGTCAATGGTATTTTTCTGTTGATGCATCTACTTTTTATCATTACTGTGATAATGAGGAATTTGCTATGAAGAATCTGCTATGAAAGCTAGAACTGGTTCTTAATAGTTTTCACAGAGTTACTGGCAATGAGGTGGTTATTATTGATGTGTTAGCAAACTGCTATTTTTTTCTTCCCTAAACAATGTAAACTACCCAGTGCAGAATTCTGAAAGGCAGTAATCTCTCAGTAGTTCACTTTCCAAAGAAAAAATTTCATCAAAAGGGTTTCTTTTGCATGTTCTATGAATTAAATGGGGGTTTTTAATCCCAGATGAACGACCAAATCAGGTCGCGAACAAAAATTTCATAAAAGTTTTGACTCAGGTCACAAACTCTGCATTGAGTGGTGACCGCGATCACGGCCATCTCCCCCCCCGCCGAGTGGGAAGATGGCCGCGATCGTCCTGGGGGCAGGGGGGGGGTGGGCGGGATCAACCCCCTCTTTTCCCCCCAAACCCCCCCCCGGTTTTGCCCCCCTCCCCCCCCCCCCCAGTGCACCGGGATGACAGGTACGTGCAGGGATGATGGGCGTGATCACGGTTCTGCTGGGGGGGTGGGGAGATGGCCGCGCTTGAGCTCGGGAATGGGGGGGAGATGGCTGTGATCTCTGTTGTTCGTCACTTTGCTTCACATTTTTCTGATTAAAAAAAATCGTTACAGAACAGATTAACCTTATTTACATTGGACCTTTTGGGGAAATTTGACTTGGCTCACGACCAATTTGGGTCATGACCAGAGTCCTGGAATGGATTAAGTTCAAGGTACCACTGTAATTGTCTTAGAGCAGGATGAGCAAAATCTCTTGGTCTAGTGGTCAGATTACATAGAAACATAGAAACAGAGTGAGTCAGAAGGGGCCTCCTGGGCCATCTAGTTTGACCCACACCTCCATAACTTAACTCAAATTATTTCAACATGTCTGCTCCAAATAGGACTAAGACCCAACCCAATTCTTTTCTATCCAAATAGATGTTTCTGTAGGAAGCCTACTCAAGTCTTAATGTTGTAGCACAGTAAGACTATCAAAATAATTAGAAGATATCTGTTAAAGCTGATGTAAATGACATTAGAATGTATCAAATTACATTGGATTGTATCCAACAGTGGCTTTGCCTTAATGGAAAGCTCTTCCACTTGTACAAGTCAGAGTATTTGATTTATGCAGATTTCCCCCCTACACTCATACTGCACTCTCTCAAAAGTTATGCATGACGGTTTGGCAGTTCTTCAAAAAAAAAAAAAAGAGAGAGAGAGAGATGGCATAGAAGACTGCAGTGTTTAAGGGCAACTGTCAAAAACTGAACGCCCTGACCTGTGGAAGCAGGAGCACAGTGCAACCTATAAGAATTAATTTAAGTAAATAAAGAACACTATATATTCAGTCCCTGGGTTAACAAATTCTGTTCCTGAGATCATCATTAAGTCAAATTTATATGTAAGTCAGATTGTGTATTTAAAAAGCAGAAGAAACACTTCCATATAGACTAAAATATGTTAATACAGCTTTTTAATAATAATAACAATACAGTAATAATAACTACTTTGCTGAAGAGAAACAAAGAGATCATCTGTATGTATGTGTGCAGGTACATATACAGTACCATTCTTAAAACACTTTAGACAGAAAGATAGAAAATAGTTAAAAGATTATTAAAGTTTAACACTTCTTGAGCTAACATTAGGCTTAACAATAACTGGATTTTGATTAAGATGTGACTGGTGTTGGAGAGTTGGATTGTGTTCTGGAGTGTGTGGGGGTTACCACTGGAGTCGCTTTTTAGTTCTGATTTCACTGCTCACCCCCTCCCCTCCCCACTGCCTGGCACTTGCCACCTGTAGGCACCCACTTGCCACTCATGGACAAGGCAAAACTTTCAGGTTTACTCGTTTGTAAGTAGGGGTTGTTCTTAATTCAGATATTTGTAACTACGGGACTGGGTGTAAAATACAACTGGGTTACTTGAATCAACTCTTAATTCAGGTAAAGAAATATACTTTGAATCATGCAACAGAGTATGATTGCAATTGTTTCTGATGCTTTAGTTCTTTGCTAATTAATAGCATGTGAGGTTATTCTAAATAATTGTGTTATCTAAATTTCTGACCTCTGTGTAATAAGTTCATCAAATTGTATTACATACTTTTTCTTATATCTTTAATCATATCAGAATCTACTTTGGTAGAAGTTCATTTGTTACGTCTTATGTTAAAGCTGATTTCCAAGGAAAAATGCTATATTAGTTATTAATCCAGTGCGGAGAACGACTGCAGGTTTATGTAGACGTCTAGAACTTATTTCTCAATCCAGTTTGGGGATAATAAAAGGATGACAAATTTCATTGTTTATTTAACACTCATTTATTAGGGGTGATCCTTTCCCTTTTAATAGTGTAAGTAATCATTTAAAATATAAACTGTAAATGAAAATGTGCATTTTTCAAAAACATTAAAAAGCATTTGCATTGCCTTACTGGACCAGATCAAAATTTACCTAGTCTAGCAACCTGCTTCCCAGCAGCCAGTAGATGTCTCTGGAGGCTCACGGAAAAGAACCCTGTTTATTATTTTCTGTCTGTCTTTCTCTTCAGGACAGTTGTAAGGACGTGGGCTCATGGGCACATTTGAAAATCTGAGGAACTGTCAGGGCGCAATACTGGCATGGGTGGGGATGGCAAGCAACCTGCCTAGAGGCATTCATGAGAGATTAAAATGGCGACAGCTAGAAGTTCCTACTTTACTTGAAGCAATCACAGCTGCCAGTAAGAAAATATAAAAATATTGTTTTTAAAAAAATTGCAAGGAGTTGGGTGTATTGGCAGGCCCCAAGAAAAGTGTTTGAGAGAAAATTATTTGCTGCAGCTCTGGGATGACTTGCTGCAGTGCAAGACAAAGAACTTCCTTAATTTTTAAAATATTGCATAAAAGGGGGGAATTTCAGCAAGCACGGCTTGCTATTTGGGTTGGGAAAAACAGCACCTCAGAAACCACTTCAGCTTTGCAATTAACTTTTTTATAACTCTGTCCTCTTTTGAAGCTCCTTTCTACCTATTTTAAAATAAACAGAAACAAAAAGAATATGGTAGTAGTGGTACTATCCCTGCAACCCACCTGGGTGCAGGGTTCCACCCATGCACAAGTCCTGACCTGTTAGCTGAAGGCCTATACCATGGGGCATATAGTTCTTTTATGTTGCTCAATTTCTGTGCTGTTACAAAGCTTTTCACATTTTCACTGTGTTTTTAAACTTTGTGATTCTTTCTTTGAGCATTCCAGTAGAATATTGACCACACATTGAATGAATGAATGAATGAATGAATGAATGAATGAATGAATGACAGGCAGATTACTCTCTAATAAATGGCTATTTAAAAAAAATTAAAAAGGGTGTAGCTTTTTGTTACCATTGTTAAATTTATTTTCCTCTGAATTTTCTGCAGATCTTGGCAAGTAATAACTTTTGACAGACAAGCAGCATCTTTCATCAGAATTGTTGGAACTCACAACACAGCGAATGAGGTAATAGACAAAAGACTGTTGTATAAACATCAACCAAAGTTCTTTATTCTATGCTGACAAAGATCAACTTTTTTTCCTCTGTTTGAGAACCTAGCATAGAAGACAGAATACATTATCCAACTGACTATATATGGAATTTATTGATGACAATAAATGTTCCTTTGCTGTCATGTATACAAATTTATCATTTGTATTATCACAGCTTTCATTGGAGCCTCCCTGAATACTGCACAAATAGGCTATGGTTAGAATTTCATACACATTTATAAAAATGGTAACATGCTGCTAATGCACTGGAATTGCAACATAAGCCTTTAAATGAGGAAAATTCAATCAATACCCAGTTCCCAAAAGTAAGTATCTATTAATAGCACAAATGACAAAAAAAGTGAAATCAGGAAGCTAACTAATTAATCATTATTTTATGGCAGGACTGTGTAACTCTGGTGGGTCTGGGGATCTTCCAATCTCCCAGGGGCACACTCTTCTTGCCATCATGTGGGCCACACCAGCACAATTTTGGCTGAGAAAGGATAAACGTATCTTATTTCCTTGATTTTTTGCCTCTCTGGTGGAAGATACACTAGAAGTCAGAGGGAAATCTTACATTTGGCTGTTCATACATATTCCATCAATTTTACAAATGGATTAAGCATGTATATCTTTGCAGGATTGCATCCCTTGGGGTCAGTTAACAGCAGGTGGATTTCTTCTGTCTCTTCTGTTGTTACTAGCAGCCAGCGTTGACTTCAGAACACAATTCACAATGCTTCCTCTTCTGTTTTTCACTTCTGAGCTTATAGTAATCAGTATCAGCACAGAATCTGAGCTGAGAGAGAAAAGCAAAAGTGAAGTCATGGGCTTGGGAGCCTGGCTATCAAAGATTTTAGAAAACTGTCTTCAAGATAATAATGTGATCTTGCTGAATTTTCACTAGTTATGTTTCACAAATTAGAACCAAGATTTGGTGTAAGTTAGCATATTTATGCCCCTGTCAGTCACACTGGAAGGCTTTTTTTTACTGAAAGAGGGTTGATCTATTTTAATCCTGTGAAAAGAGAATCATGACATATCACAAAATAAATAATAGCACCATTAAAGCAGAAGCCACAAATGCAAGTAAGTAAATTATTCATCCCTTTAAACTGTCTGTGTGCATGAAGTCCCCCCTGCTTCCAAGAATGAAGGCAGCACTTTAACCTGTTAGAATCTTAAATGTGGGCAGATTAATGTCTCTAAAGCCACTAATATTACATGCGCCTGCATACATATTTCATATAGCGGGAAATTATAAATAAGACCATAAATTGAACTCGGTGATGGCTTTGGATAGTATTTAACTATTCCTTGCCTGATTTTCAACAAGCATCTATAGTGCTTCTAGGGATAAAATAATTCACCATTCAGAGATTGTAGAGGATAAACTTGTGAACCTAATTAGTGGTTAGAGTTGTGTAGAGGTTACCCAGTTCCAAACAAGTTTCATATAATGCTTACTCTAGGATTTTTCCCTATGTTCACCTCTCCCTGCTAAATACACATTTGGTTAGTGACAATATTACAGTTTTTGGTAATTAGGATCAGGGTAATTATCATAGTAGACCAGAACAATGTTCCATTTTGAGTTTAGCAATTTGTCCCCAATAGTGATCATCACTAAATGCTTCAGTGAATATGCGACAATATACACAGTAGACAATTACAGGAGAGCCTGCTGCTAGGATAAGTGTTCTTTTAATCCCAGTTAGTGGTGAAATTAGACCTAATAGCCTTTTGAGTTACATGATGACATTGTCAGTGCTTGAAAAATTTCAGAGGTATACACAAAATGTTTTGTAACCCTTTTCATGCAATTTTTAATATACACAAATGTTTTAAAGATAACACAATTGTTCTAGTCAAGATCACAGAGGTGCCATGGGAACAGTGTTTTTGTGGGCTCACTCTGCACTGCTTCTGTAATGTTCAAAGGGCCACAACCAGCTTGTGACCAAATGGGTTTGAAACACTTTTGCGTGCTTTCTTTTTCTCTGTTAGGCTTCTTTCCATAGTATTAAGATTTTCTAGCGTCTAGTCTAAATCTGGTTTCCTTCAACTTAAGTCTATTATTCTGAGCCCTGCACTATGGAATGGATGAGAAGAGGTCTTGTCCTGCTTTGTGACAGCCTTTCAGGTACTTGTAGAGTGCCATCATATCACCCCTCAATCTTCTTAAGGTTGAACATCTCTAGTTCTGTCAATCTTTCCTCATAGGGCTTTGCCTCCAGTCACTTCTCCATCCTTTTTGCCTTCCTCTGAACCCTTTCCAGCTTGTCTGGATATTTCTTAACCTGTAGTTCCCAGCTGTGGACACAGTACTCTATGTGAGGTCTGACTAGTGCTGAGTATAGGAGAACCAGTACTTTACATATTTTAGAAGTGCTAGTTCTGTTGATGGAACCCAAAACAGCATTTGCCCTATTTGCAGCTGCATCACATTGTTGGTTCATATTTAGTTTGTGATCTACAACCACCTCAAATTTCTTCTCTTTTGCAGTTGTTGAGCCAAGCATTCCTGATTTTGTAGTGATGCATTTGGTTTCTTGTTCCTAAATGGAGGACTTGGAATCTGTTCCTATTGAATTTCATTCTGTTGTTCTCTGCCCAGCATTCTAACCTATCAAGATCACCCTGTATCTTACCTCTGTCTTCAAAGTTATTTGCTATTCTACCAAGCTTTGCAATATCTTCTAATTTAATTATCTTTCCTTCTACAGTGGTACCTTGGCTCATGAACTTAATCCATTCCAGGACTCTGGTTGTGACCCGAATTGGTCATGAGCCAAGTTAAATTTCCCCATAAGGTTCAATGTAAGTAAGGTCAATCCATTCAGTAACTATTTTTTTTAATCCGAAAAATGTGCAGCAAAGTGACAAAGAACAACAAAGATCGTGGCCATCTCCCCCCCCCCCCACCCCAAGCATGAGCATGGCCATCTTCCCACCCCCTCAGCATGACTGCGGGCGCGCTGGGGGGGAGAGATGGACGCGATCATGTTGGGGGGGGGGTGATGGCCAAGATCACAGTTACGCTTGTGCAGGAAAGTTGGGTGCAATCACAGGTGCACTCATGCAGGGAATACGGGTGCGATCTCAGCCATCTTCCCCCCCCCTCCCCCAGCACAATTGTGATCATCTCCCCATTTGGGGGGTGGGGAGACGGCTGCGATCACAGTCGCCACCCAATGCAGAGTTTGTGACCTGAGTCAAAATTTTTATGACATTTTTCGTGACCCGATTTGGTCGTGAACTGAGGCGTTCGTGAGCTGAGGTACCACTGTATTTTCTCATCCAAATCATTAATAAAAATGTTGAAGAGAACCGGTACCAGGACAAGACCTTGTTGCACCCCACTTGTCACCTCTTCCCAGTTTGAGAAGGTGATGTTGATGAGCACTCTTTGAGTCCAATTCTGAAACCAACTATGGATCCACCTGGTCATTGTTCCATGTAGTCCACTTTTACCATGTTCGTTTATCAGGATGTTGTGGGGCACTTTGTCAAAGGCTTTGTTACAGTCTTGATAGATTATGTCCACAGCATTCTCACAGTCCTTTTGGGAGGTTACCCAGTTAAAAAAAGAAATCAGATTAGTCTGGCAGGATTTGTTCTTGAGAAATCCAAGTTGGCTTCTAGTAATTACCATATTGTCTTCAAGGTGTTTGCAGACAGTTTTATAATTTGTTCTAGAAATTTTCCTGTCAGACTCACTGGTCTATAGTTCCCAGGTTCATTTGCTTCCGTTCTTGTAGATAGGAACAACATTAGGCCTTCTCTATTCATCCAGCACTTTTCATGCCTTGCATGAATTCTCCAAGATGATAGATAGTGGTTCTGAGTGTTTTTCCACTAGTTCTTTCATGACTCTAGGATAGAGGTCATCAGCCCCTGGAGAGTTGAACTTATTTAGCCCAATTAAAAAATCCTTGACAATTTGCCTGTCAATCTTGGGCTGCCATCCTGCCCCTTCAGTTTGTACTACTCCTTTATCACGAAGGTTGTAGTTCTTTTGGGAGAAGACTGAGCCAAAGTAGGAGTTGAACACTTCTCCTTTTCTTTGCTGTCCATTAGCATTGTTCCATCCATGCTGAGTAAGTTGAACTCCCTTCTCTTTTGTCTGTTGTATGCTTTGTACATATTTGAAGAAGGCTTTTTTGTGGCTTTTAGCGTCCCTTGCTAGTCTCAGTTGGTTCACTGCTTTAGCCTTCCTGACATCCTCCTTGCAGTTCCTTGTTACTTCTTTATATTTATGTATTTATATTGTATTGATTATTTGACTTAAAGATTAACCAACAAAAATTCTTTCATTGCTTGGTAACCTAATAATGGTAGAATTTCAAAAAAATAATCAATTCCATATGTCTGATAAATGAACACTGAGGACTACATCTGGAATATACCCTGGCCCAGTTATTCAAGGCTTATTTGATGCTTTAATTGCACTTTTATTAATGTAACTTGCTCAAGACCTTAATATGACAGGTGTCAGAATGCAACTGATTAATAGGATACCCTAATTCTACAGTTATTCTTTGATATAAAGGGTTTGAGTGAATCCCTTGAAATTCTTGATAGAAAAATTACAGAATCACAAGACTATGTATTAGGAAGAAAGAGAAAGCAGTGTTGGACTTTGATTTGTTCCTTGTGTTCTTAGGAACACTGAATTTGCTATACGTAGCATAACAGCCCTGTTATCTGTGTGAATTAACTTTGTAGAATAAGCCATATTTGAATAACTTCTTGTTGCTGTTAACAAATTACTAGTTTGTTAGTGTTTTTTATTTGATAATATCCTGGTTGTCACCTATATTTTGGAATAAGGTGCATTGAAAGCTTTTTAAAAGTCACATGTAGTTGCTGGTATTGTTTCTCTAGTGTTGCCTTCCTGTTTTCCAAAAAGCTTGAAGAAGTTTGTGGAATGCTAATAATGTCCTATTCCTCTGGCATTCTTGGCTCAA